CCCCAAAACCCCAAAACCCCAAAACCCCTTGAGGCAAGTATAAGCCTTATTCTGAGGAAAAGCTATATAGTAAAATATATTTTAATCAGAATATTAATTTTATATGTCTATTTAATAGGAAGCTAAATTATAACTTAAAATTAAAAAATCTAAAATACAATAAAGAATAGATAGTTTCTAAAAAAGAAAAGTCATAATGCTTCACAGCAGTATAAACGATTCTGTGTATCAAGTACCTCTGAGAAATTAAACAGTCAATGCATAGATATTCAATTCTATTGCTACAATAGACATAATTCAAACATTTTACAACGATACTCAAGATCCACTTGAAGTAACTGTGAATATTCCCATTGATGAGGATTACGGTATTGGAAAATTAACAGTCGAAATTGGCGATTAAGTTATTGAAGGAAAGATATTAGAGAAATAAAAAGCATAAGAAAAATACGAGGATGCTATTGCCTAAGGCCATACAGCTACAATTGCTTCTGAAGACAATGAAAAAGATGAAATAATCAAATTGACTATTGGTAATCTCCTTCCTGGATAAGAAGCAAAACTTGAAATCTAACTCTTGAATGTTCTTAAAATTGAAGGAGCAGCATACTGCTTAAGAATTCCTCTCAACTACTTCCCTAATTATGAAGCTAAATTAAACGGGTACAGCTATAAATTTTAAGTTGAAATCCATTCTGACACTCCAATAACATATCTTAGTCATCCAAACAGTTCAAAGATCGTAAAGGAAACTTCTGATGAAAACTTACTTCATATTAAACTTGAAAAAACCTAAGAAAATGTATACTGTCTTGATAATGATTTGGTAGTATACTACAGGACTAATGATATGGAAAGCACAGTGCTCTTTTCTTAAGAGTCAGAGAGTCATCCTGATTAAGTTGCAGTTATGCTCTCTGTATTACCTAGTTTTATTGAATAGACCACAAGTGTACCATCTTTAGATACTTATGAAGAGGAAATACCTGATCCATAAGATGTTCAATACATTAACCCAGGTGACTGCATATATATATTCTTGGTTGATAGAAGTGGTTCAATGAGAGGAGATAAGATGTAAACTACAAAAGAAGCACTTAAACTGTTCTTAAAATCATTACCTCCAAGATCAAATTTTGAAATAATAAGTTTCGGTACATAGTATACAGTTCTATCAGGATCACCTAATGGATTAGAATATAATGACATCACTATAAACAACGCTATGAATTAGATTGAGAGCTTCTAAGCAGATATGGGTGGAACAGAAATTTATCAACCATTGGAATATGCTATCTCAGGCATCTAAACAAAACTCTAAAAGAGAATATTTATGCTTACAGATGGAGAAGTAAGCAATAGGAACTAAGTGGTTGAATTAGCAGGTAAATGTCCATATGATGTTAGAATACATTCAATTGGAATCGGAAGAGGTTGTGATGTTAGGCTTGTATCAGATGTTGCAACTTAAGGTAAAGGTTCATGCAGTTTAGTGGTTGAAAGTAAAGACCTAAAGGCAATAGTTATTAAGGCTTTAGCCAGAGCCAAAGATCCATCCTATAGCAACTGTAAATTTATTCTTTCTCAGAATCCAATCATCAGCGCTAATAATTTAAAGCATAACCTAATTAATACTACAGGATTTGAATTGTTCAGAAATGAAATTTTTCTGATACTAGCAATCATACCCAAATAAGATTTCGAAAATCTGAGAATAAGCGCCTCAAGCGATATCAATCCAATTTCAAACAAGGGCATAAATTATGAATGGAGTGCAGCTGACTTTAGATAGTTAAATATGGGTAATGAACTTTTCAAAATTGCAGCAAGAATGAGTATCAATGAACTATCTATCCCAGCTTCAAAGTATTCAAGAGTGCCTACTAAGGATATTGAAAAGATTTCAATAGAATATTAGGTGCTCAGTAAGTACACTGCATTTTTAGCGGTTAACTAGAATGATGAGAAGCCAATTGGAGAACTTAAATAGATCAATATTAAACAAGAAGATTCAATTCCTATTGAGAGAAATGAAAAGAGATGTAGACGTAGAGTCTAACCTACTTCTCCAACAAGTTAAGTCTTTTCTTTTTCAAGCTCAAACCAAGATTAAATTAAAAAAAAGAAAAAATGTAAAGAGAAAAAAGCTGCTTAAAAATAAGAAACCCCAAAGAAAAAGCAGGATGATAATGAAAATGTTCATCATAATTAACATCATTAACTTCAGAAAATCAATTAAGCAATGGCAGACACAGAAATGGCTGAGGAGGAAGAACGTGAAGTTGAAACCATGTAAATTGATGATTAAATTTATCTAGAAGGATATAACAATAACTAAATGCAAGGTTTAATTAAGTCTCCTCTTAAAGTTTCTTAATTGCCAATGGAAGAATAAAAATATATGCTCTCATACTCCTACCAACAAGTAGAAATATGAAATCTAAAATTCATAAGACTATCTTTGTTAGTGCTTCTCTTTAATATGATTAGCAATTCCTATTGTTCTGTTTGCCATAGTTCGTTACCGCAAATTTACAAAAATGATGAATCTGAAAGAAGACTTATCTTTACTGCTTTTGATATTTACATAGGAAGCGGATACTTTTTTTCATTGACTAAGGAAAACTATCTGATTTTATTCGTAGTATCAGAACATGGAAAGTATAGATTCGATTTAAAGATAGAAAATTGGACTTCGTAAGATGTTTATGGCGTGGCGATAACCTTTTATTTGCCTAGTAAAGAATAATGTACATATTTCGGAGGTCATACATTGAATGCAATTGGCTATAGTAATGATGAATTCTACCATAAATACTCTGTTAAAATAGATATTGATGGATCTTAAACAGACTCAGAAATCTATCCAATTAGAGCTAGATATTGTACTGAACTATTAACTTTAATGATTGCTTAAAATGGAATCACATATTTTGCTGCAGCATTTGTTAATACTTGGTAATTAAGCTTTTAAAGTGTGAAAAAAGTAGAAGGCCAAACATATTTGTATAATCACTTCGTTTTGGCTATTTAAAATGTTCCTGCAGCAAGTATTGAGGGTTCGTTTTTATACTGGGCATAGCCTCTTTTAAATGATGGAACCTTCAATGTTTTCAAAATTAGCTTTTGGCCTATTGATATTGCATAGGTATTTAGCTATTAGAATGACTAATTTCTGGCATCTTAAAACAACTATATAGCATCATTGACTATTTCTCAGTATTCAGCTTCTTTGAATCGTATGTTTTACTGTTTGAATCTGGAAAGCCATTCAATAACTTATACTAAATATTCTCACATTGTGTATGATTTGGAATAATCTGGAATTCAAAAATAATGGGAGTACTATGACCCCACTTATCTAATATACTGCGATGATATTCATCATAATCTAACGACAAACACTCTATTCGTTGTTTTTTAAAGCTATGACTTTGATATTGATGCAGCATTTCTTAGCACTATATTCATTAACCTAAATGATTACAACGCAAAGCAAGGTCTTATTCTTGATTCTAATTCTTAACCATCAATCTAGTTCAAGAATACTGTATTTAAAGACTATTGATTTACAACATAAATAGCTTACACCTACAAAATGATTATTGGATTACAGATATTTTAAATAGATTAAAACCTTACTATTTAAGATTCACTCTTGATGTTAGCTTACCCTTCACAAAATTGTGATTATTTTGACTTTAAAGAGCAAGCCTACAGTTTTAACTCAATTACAAGTTCGTTTACTATCTTAGATGATTTAGTTTCAACAATGATGGTAATGCCTTCTCCAAGCGTTCTGGAATACGCAAGTATTACATCAGGTGCAAATCCTGAGTCACTGTTAATAACTGATTTTCCAAAGTGTCCTATAAAAAATTACAAACCAATCATTGTAACTTCATTATAACCTTAGGTCTTTTATCAATACTTGGACAACAAAGTTAGATTTTTTCAACTAAATTAATGGGCTTAAATTTCTCCTTGTAACTCCTACTATTTCACCTACTAACTTTTTAATGTTGATTACTCAAGAAGTTTTTCCGGGAAAGGTTCTATTTCTCCTAAGTTGAACAAAATGACAATAAACCCTTTTCAAACTACAGATACAGCATCTTTTGGTAACTACTGGGGCTCTTAAAGAGGTTATCTTTAAGATGGAACAGCTAAAACATAGACGTTCTAGATTACTATAAATTTTCCTCCTTCAGCTGCAAACTCACCTATGAATCCAATATATACTGCTCCATACTTTACTGAAGAAATAAAGAATTTCACAGTTTTCTATGATCAAATTCTTGTATACAAATTACCTAATGTCGTTGATGATGAAAATGATCCTTACAAAATAAATTTATACACATAAATGGAATGGGAAAAACTCTATTCACTTGATAACAGGATGGTATCTTTCTTAATATTCAATGTCTCAGTAAAAGTTTATTACTTTGCTCTAGAATTACAAGAAAAGACTATCTATAACTTGACATGAATGTATGTTTTCTCAATCAATGTCAAAGAACCACCAAAGGGCATAGAAGTAGATAAAATAGTTGAAATAGGAAATGATACTGAATTGGATTTAAATAGCACAAATGAAATCTAATATAATTCTACAGATATTATTAAAGCTAAAATATTATCAATAAATGAAAAAGGTGTGGTCAGATTAAGATTTAATTAATAATTAAAAAGCTTAACCTCAACAGAAATAAGAAAACTAAATGAGCTAGTCACACCAATAATAAAACAAAAGGACTCATAAGTTTCTTATAATAAAATAATCTATCATCAGCTAACTTCAGTTAGTGGTAAGAACATGATGATAGACATAAAATTTCTGTATCCTTTAAAAATATCACTTAGTAGCTAAACAGATTACTTACTAATCAGATTTACAGACAAGTAGTACATTAAGGCAGAGAGTAATAATAGCTTAATATTTCCTTATGGATTCGTTACTGATCAATTTGCTCTTCCAAATTAAGAACAGTAAACAGATAATAGTATTTTTGAAGAAAGCAAAAAGTACTTGTATTATTCTCTAGCTGGCACTTTTGGGTTGAATACAATAGCAGTGTTATTTTTTGATGTATCCCTTCAGTAATTTTGGTCATTAATTAATACTCTCTAGCTTGTAGCTTACTTGCCTTTACTCAACTTCAATATGCCTTATAATTTGCTTTAATTTTTCAATGTCATTTCTCAGGCAACAAATCTCTAATTAGTTGATGTCACTCACATCAAGCAGATAATAAATCCCGAGGGTGAAATGGAGTATGACTAAGAAATGATTTATGGAATTAACTTTTAGTTGATGGGTTTCTCATCTTATGATATCTATGAGAATATGGGTCCAGAGCTTTTGCTGTTCCTCATGAATTTAGCAATGTATGTAGTAATTATGTTCACAAGGTTCATCAAAGAAGTCAAGATATTCAAAGCGATCCACAAGTATCTGGTAAACAAGTTTATTTTTGATTTCGGATTGAGATTAGTACTTGAATTATACCTTTACTATTGCGTAGTAATAGGTCTTCAATACTATTAACATCTAATTTATCCTTAATTTACTAGAAATGCTAGTTTGTTGATAGCATTAGGATCATTTTTGCTTTTGGCAGTATTCCCTATTTTGAACTTAATTATTATATTAAAGCTTAAGTCGAATAATGGATTAGAACTATATTTCTCACCCTTAATTGAAGATTTGAGATCTTCTGATTTCAAAAGCAAACTACAAAGGATATTATTTATGTTGAGAAGAATCTCCTTTGTTCTCTCTATATTCATTCTTGGCAATTCTCCAGCGATACAAATATTCTTTAATCAATTGATTTGTATTTTAGAGATAGTATTCATCATTAAAATTAGACCATTCTCAAAGATATTAAGCAACAGGATGGAGGTCTTAAATAATGTACTGTATCTATTTATTTGCACTGGCTATCTGCTCTTGACAAATGAATATGATTATTACTTAATGAAAGTGAATTCTAGTTGGGTTATTATGTCGATGATTGCAATTATTCTGGTTTCAAATATAGCAATCATTATTCTATCCTTTGTGAAAAAGTCCATGAAATATCTTAGGAGAAAGCGAAGACAAATAAAAAGGAATAGAAAAATGAAATAAATAATGAGTTTAAATGACTATTCTTCCTTTTTGACAACTTAAGGATATTTAAATACAAATGGAGTAAAAAATTTTACTGAGGAAAGTGAAATTATTAGCACCGATAATTTAAAACATTTAAATATCGAAAATGACAAAACAAAGAATAATACCAATGACAAGGATATCACTAATCATTCAAGTTTAAATTTCAAAAGTCAAGGTAAAAATTGGGCATTAGATTAAATTGATGAAGTAATAACTGATAATGAAGATGGGCCAACCCAATAAAAATATAAAAAATGACGTTAAATATTTTAAAGATAAGACAATATATAAAATGGCTAGATTTGTCAAATTAATGGAGTTGACTATTTTTTATTCGATTTAACATTGATTTTCTATATTATTAATACTCTAGATTTATTTAATAAGTGCTATAGGGGTTTTGGGGTTTTGGGGTTTTGGGGAGATCGG